GTGTGATCTTAAGTCTGATTACTGACAAATGTTCTCCATGTGGGCTCCATCGATGTTTACCACAATGTATGCGAGTGCCTGTTTCCCCACATCCTCACTGGTATTATCAACCTTTTTGATTTTAATCTCATAGGTAAAAATTGCATCATGGTATTTTCTATTGTGTTCCTCTCCTAGCTGAGATTGAGCGTGTTTTCCTGTTTTTTAAAAGTCTATTTTGTTTTCAGAAACTATATATCCATGTCCTTTGACCATTTTCCCATTGGGTTATTGGTCTTTTTATTATTGATTCATCAGAGTTCTTTACATATTAAGGACATCAGACCTTTATCAGATATGTTGCCCATATTTTTTCTAAGTTTGATGTTTTGCTTACCTTTTGATTTTGTTTATGGTGTTCTTTGCCATGTAGAAAACTTAAAAAATTTCTATGCAAGATTTACTCTGTATTTCTTTTGTGCCCTTTGGGTTTTCATGTTATATTACCTTTAAGACAAGCAGACTAGAGCAGATGTGTGTTCCCTTGAGAGTTCCTTTTCCTTGGGAGATTTCGAAATCTTTTCTTACCCGTAAGGTTACATATAAACTTGGCCCTTATGTTCTTTTTTTTTTTTTTTAAGGCGGCAGACATTATTTTAATAGATGTGTATATTTTAGAAAATGGGCCTTTAAAATTTAGCATTCTTTTTTTTTTAAATTTTTTATTGTACTTTAGATGAAGGTTTGCAGAACAGTTTCTCATTAAACAGTCAGTACATATATTGTTTTATGACATCGGTTAACAATCCCACAACATGTCAACACTCTCCCTTCTTGACCTTGGGTTCCCTATTACCAGCTTTCCTGTCCCCTCCTGCCTTCTAGTCCTTCTCTTTGGGCTGTTGTGCCCCATTAGTCTCGTTTTATTTTATGGGGCTGTCTAATCTTTGGCTGAAGGGTGGACCTTGAGAGTGACTTCATTACTGAGCTAAGGGTGTCGGGGGGCCATACTCTCGGGGTTTCTCCAGTCTCTGTCAGTTGGCCCTTAAATAGCCTGATCCGGTCCTCTGGAAACTCACATTCAGTACCCTCTAGACTTTACAATTGCCCTAATATCTGTCATAAGGGCCACTCTCCTCCTAGGCCCAGGACAGGCATGACTAATCAATCTCCGAATTCTAGGCAGAAATTACCAGTTGATGGAAGCTGGCCTCGGACATGCAGCCTGTTTGCCAGCCCTGCTAAGTCTCCTGCTTTTTGCCTTGCAGTGCTGTGAAGGATGTGCTCTGTGGATCTGGAAAGGCTAAAACCCCAACAACTCAAGAAGAGGAAGCTGAAGACCTTAAAGTAGACATGAATAAAGCACAAGGTATGTTATGCTAGAGACCATCCTACATAAGAAGCAGCACCCAGGGGCTCCATAATAACAATAATAACTTGTTATCATCACGTTGTAACCAGTCTACTGCAAGAATTAAACTCGAGGCATCAGGTGATCATAAAGCACCTCCACTCGTTCTCTTTCACAAATGCCCTTTTTCAAACCTGGATAAAGTGCTGACAGCAATCATAACTTTCATAAAACCAGAAAAAACCAAGCCCGTCGTCGTCGAGTTGATTCCGACTCATAGCGACCCCATGTGACAGAGAACTGCTTCACAGGGTTTCCTACCTAGGCTGTCATCTTTACAGGAGCTGACCACTAGGTCTTTCTCCCGAGGAGCAGCTGGTGGGTTCGAACTGACAACCTTTATGGTTAACAGCTGAGTGCTTAACCACTGCACCACCAGAGCTCTTCGGTAACTTCTAGAGTCACTCTCAAATGGTAATAATTTTCAAAATCTCATTTTGGTCATTCAAGCATCCCCACCAGTGTCCCAGTGACATCCGTCTACATTTTTTGTCCCATTTAAAACTTCTCCCCTCTCTCCTGCTTCACACTAGATGCCGGGGTTGGAGGGGGGCATGTATGATGGACTGCTTGTTGATTTCTTAAATATTCTTCCCCTCTCTTTGCCTCTAGTCCCACTAGGCAGTTTGTTGGAGGAGTCCTTGGGTGGTGCAAATGGTTAAGCATTTGAGTACTAGCTGAAAGGTGGGGAGTTCAAACCCACCCGGGGCACCTCGGAAGAAAGGCCTGGTGATCTGCTTCTGAAAGGTCACAGCCTTGAAAGCCCTAGGGAGCACACTTCTACTCTGCACACACGGGGTTGCCATGAGTCGGAATTGACTCAACGACAACCACCACTGTTTGTTGTAAGGGGGTGCTGACTCCCAGTGCTCTTTCTTTGTGGGGGAGTTGGCGGAGGGCTGGAGTGAGTTTGAGGGACTTCAGGGCTGAGCAAGGAAAAGCATATGACCCTGAGATAGCATCGTTGTACGACAAGCAATTTATTGGGGCTGATGCATTGACAGTCTCCTGGCGGGACAGTCCCCCACAGCAGGAGGTCTGCCAGAGGCAAGCTACACAAGGCTCTGTCTTTGGGTTAGTAGCTGAGCATTTAACTGTTTGTAGCCCCCAGGGATGATAGATGCATAGACGGATGGATGGATAGATATGTGACAAAGCAAATATAAAAACGTTTGCAGCTGTAGAATCGAGATGGTGGTTTACTAGCTGTAGCAAACAGGTGTTCACTATACAATCTTCCAACATTCTTGTGTGCGTGAAGATTTTCATAATACATTGTTGAGGGGGGTAATGAAAAAAGAGAGAGGAAGCTAAAACAGACCAACGTTGACCATATACCTTTACTCAAGGAGTATGATTAAGTCTTAGGCCCTGGATGGTACAAACAGTTTGCCAACTACTAATATAAAGCTTGACAGTTCAAACCCACCCAGCAGTACCGTGGAAGAAAGGCCTGGCAATCTGCTTCTGTAAGGATGATGGCCAAGAAAACCACATGGAGCACTTCTATTCTGTAACACATGGGGTCCCCATGAGTCGGAATCGACTCGCCGGCAATGGGTTTAGGTTTTTTTGTTGTTATTGTTTATGATTAATTCAATACTCAGCACCTGAGATCCAAAAGAACCCCCAAAAGTTATTAAATGTATTAAAACTTTTGCCCCCCAAGCCCTGGTGACTGCTTGGTGACTGTTTGCAGATGCTCTCCGGCTGTGGACCGTCCATCGAGATGGAGAAGTCCTTTTGAGGTTAACAAAGCATGGGCCAGGCCACGAGGCCCCGATAACCATTCCAGACTTTTTCCGTGAGTCTGTCAGTCGCTTCGGGACTTATCCAGCCCTCGCAACAAGGAACAATGACAAATGGGAGTTTCTGAATTACAACCAGTATTACCAGGCTTGCCGGAAAGCTGCAAAAGCCTTTCTCAAGGTAAATGAGTCGTTCATTCATTCATCACTTGTTCAAACATTCATTCAGAATAGGTCATACAGACCGAAACAAAACCCATTGCCGTCAAGTCGATGGTGCCTGATGGCAACCCCATGCATTGCAGGGTAGAACTGCCCCGCCCCATAGGGTGTTTGTGGCTGTCATTTTTATGGAAGCAGATCACCAGGCCTTTCTTCTGTGGCACCACTGGGTGGGTTCGAACTGCCAACCTTTAGGTTAGTAGTTGAGTGCATACCATTTGCACCACCCAGGGGCCTTAAACCGTGCCATCAAGTCAATTCCGACTCATGGCGACCCCATGTGTAATACATACGCATGGTACAAAATCCACACGGCTCCAAAAGATACAAAGGGTGATGGGTGAAAATTTTCCCTCTGATCCTTGCCTCTTAGTCACCCAGTTTCCCTCCATGAAGGCACTCTCCACTGCCAGTGTTTTGTGTACCCTTCTGGAAAGAAGTTATGTGTCTATATCAGCAGCTTCGAACCAGTGTTCTGGTTTGAACCCCTGCTGAGAATTTGCATTTCCACTCCAGATATACTGAATCAGAATCTACAGTTTATCAAGATCCCTATGTGATTCTTATGTATAATAAATTTTAAGAACCATTACTCTGCTAGTGGTTAGAACTAGTCCCTAACCAGCAGCATTAGCATTGCCTGGGAACTTGTCAGAAATGCAAATTCTCAGCAGGGGTTCAAACCAAAATGAACCAGTTCGAAGCCCTGGTGTATATTATATAGTTCCCTGGGTGGCGCAAATGGTTTATGCTTGGCTGCTAACCAAAAAGTTGGTGGTTTGAACTCACCCAAGCGGCACCATGGAAGAAAGTCCTAGTGATCTGTTTCTGTAAAGATTACAGCCAAGAAAACCCTATGAAGCACTTCTACCCTGTAACACATGGGGTCACCATGAGTCGGAATTGACTCGATGGCAATGGGTTTGGTTTTTGGTTTTATATGTTATACATTTTTATATATGCAGATTTTTACACAGATGGTAGGATACTATACCCAGTACTTTGTATTTTGCTTTTTTCCCTTAACATAGCATGTATCTCTATGTATTTGTTAACTATTGCTGCATAACAAATTACCCCAAAACTTAATGATAAATGACATTTATCATTGCACGGTTTCTGTGGGTCCAGAATCCAGGAGATGAGCTGAGTAGTTCTGGTTGAGGGTCTCCAATAAGGTTACAGTCAAGCTGTCGGCCAGGGCTGCATCATGTGAAGGCTCGACCGTGGCTGGAGGATCTGCCTCCAAGCTCACTCATGTGGCTGGCTGTTGGCAGGAGGCCTCAGTTCCTCACTCCATGGCCCTCTCCATAAGACTGCTTGAGTGTCCTCACAACACGGCAGCCAACTTCCCCAAGAATGAGTGATGCCAAAGTGAGACAACAACCAAAATGGAACCGCAGTACTTTTATAACCTGATTATTACTTCTTCCATATTCGATTGGTTACACAGACCAACCCTGATGTAATGTGGGAGGGGGTTATACAAGAGCATAAATACCAGGATGTGACAATCTTTGGGAGCCACCTTGGAAGCTGCCTACTACACTCTGAGATCTTTCCAAATGGGTGCCTTAAAAAAAAAAAAAATCCATATTCTTCAGAATGGCTGCAAATATGTACAAACAGAATGGACTTACCAGCCCCCTACTGATAGGCATTTAAGTTGTTTCTAGCCTTTTGCTACTACAATAGTGCCACAGGGAATGAATTTCCTATGTAGGATGAATTCCTACAAAGATGTTGTCTTTTTATACCCACTCACCATGTATGAGGGAGTCTGTTTACCTATATTTTCCTAACATCATATTATCAAAAATGTTAATCTTGGCAAATTTGATAGGCAGGGTAGAGAGAATTCTAAGATGGCCCCCAAGATTCCTAGCTCATCAGGAGTCCCTGGGTGATGCAAATGGTTAAGTGCTCGACCTCTGACCAAAAGGTTGGCAGTTCAAGTCCACACTGTGGCACCTCGGAAGAAAGGCCTGTTGAGCTACTTCCCAAAACTCAGCCATTGAAAACCCTATGGAGCACAGTTCTACTCTGACACACATGGCGTTGCCATAAGTTGGAATCGACTCAATGGCAACTGGCACTGGTATGTAGATGGAGATGAAGAACCCTCATAGATTCACAGAATTATCACACCCCAGGTTTTAAGTTCAACAGTGGCTTCCCCCCAAGTGACTGTGTGTGTTTTTGATTCTGCTTTTACATGTCTCGATAATCAGAATATAACCAGAAGCAAAATATCTCCCTGCTTATGTTTTTTGTTGGTTTTTGCCTTTCCAGCTGGGCTTGGAGCGTTTCAACGCAGTTGGCATCCTGGGTTTTAACTCAGCCGAGTGGTTTATTGCTGCTATTGGCGCCATCTTAGCAGGGTAAGACCATCGACTTGGTTCATTGTGAATGTTGACAAGCCACTACTCTGGGCCTGGCAGCCCTGGGCTGGTTCAGACTGAGATGTGAAAAGGAATTTCAGAGGGAGCCCCAGGTTAGCAGGCAAGATGGACACACAAACAAATCATTCTGATCATGGTTATATGTAATAGCATCCATTAGATCAGAGGTTTTAGACTTCTTTTTTCTTCAGCTGCAGAATTTCTGCAGATAAACTAACAATCACAGATAACGTTTAGAGATTTCTGATTACGTGCTAGTCATTGTGCTCCTGTAAAACCTCACAACAGTATTGTGAACTGGATCCTGTCGTTTCCTATTTACAGATGAAAAAACTGAGGCTCATGCAGCCTGTTGGCAATAGAGCCAGAACTTGAATCCAGGTCTGAATGGCTCTTAAAAATAAATAAAGGGGGAAACTTCTCTGATTGTAGCTGGGAGTTGGGGAGGGGCCGACGTGCCCTGATATTAAGCACCCTGCAGGCAGGTAATGTGTTTTGTTCACCTTCGGGGCTGGTTCACCAAGTAGCTCAGTAAGTATTTAAGTGAATGGTGATTGACCAGACCAGAAGCTAGAACACAGGTGTGGTCATCCTGTCCTAAGTGCTTCGAAGCCAGGTGAGAAAAACTGATGTGAAGTTGCCATGTTTACGGTTTGGTGACCCCTAAAAGAAAAAGATCAATGATCTTTGTTTACCCTGGGGTTTCTCCCCAGTCTTGGCACTACTGACATTTGGGGCCAGGTCATTCTCTGTTGTGGGGGGCTGTCCTATGCATTGTAGGACTATAGCAGCATCCCTGGCCTCTGCCCACTAGATGTGTAGCACCTCCCCCGAGTCACGACAACCAAAATATCTCTAGACATTGCCAAAAAAAAAAAAAGGACATAAATATAAGCTTCATACACAAACATGTTTCTTGATAGTGTTATTGGTGATGGTAAAAAACTGGGAATAACCTAAGTGTTCAGCAACTGGGGTTAGAACTATGCGATGCCTTCTGGATGGAGTACTGGGCAGGGGTTGGAAATGATGGCTGCAAAGAGCACATTGTAAGCATTTTCTGTGTTCAAAGAAGGGAAAACTGCAGGTATAAAATATTTATGCACTATATGTTTACAACTATGCTCAAAATAAAAAATGGAAACTATAATATACTAATAATTACCTGTTGGCCTTTTACCCATGTTATTTCATTGAATCCTTACAGTAGCCCTATTCAGTAGGTACTGTTATTACCCCCAATGATAATGATGGTGAAGGTGATGTGGGGCCCAGAGATGTTAAGTGGCTTTCCCAGAGTCATACAGTGGTTGAGTGGAAGAGGCCGGAACTCAGATCTATCCAACTCAAGATTACAGCAGCAACCACCAGCATAAGGAATTGAGGGGAATGACTAGAACGAAATATTAGCATTGGTTATATCTGACCAGCGAGTCTAAAGACTCTTCAGTGTTATGTTATGTGCAAATGGTTTGCCTTCATCTACTTAACCTAAATGTTGGTGGTTCTAACCCAACCAGCAGCACGACTCTTTTTTTTTTTTTAAGTCCCTGGGTGGTGCAAATGGTTAAGCACTCAACTACTAACTGAAAGCTGGCAGTTCAAACCCACCCAGAGGTGCCTCTGAGGAAAGGTCTAGAGATCTTCTTCCAAAAGGTCATAGCCTTGAAAACCCTATGGAGCACAATTCTACTCTGCACACATGGGGTCGCCATGAGTCCAAATGGACAGCAACTGGTTTGGATTTTAACATTATGTTATTTTCTATTTTCCAAATTATTTCATGAGCATATATCCCCCCCTACCTTATAGTGGGTTGGGAAAAAGCCTAAATAAAGGAATTTGCCCCACTTTCAAGGACTGTATGAATCCCCAAGCCCAAGAGGAGAGATGGTGAGGTGCAGTGGTTGGGTCCCGGTAGCAGATCAGACCTGAGTTCAAATTCTGGGCCTTCTGCTGTATCCTCATCTGTCAAAGTAAGCACGATAGCAACATGCATCCATGCCTCCCAGGGCTGTTATAAAGTTTCAACGAGATGATACTTATTAAGCCCTTAGCATGGTGCCTAGCAAGTAGTACGTGCTCATAAAGAGTGATGAGGATAATTATTTCACGTAATTATAACCTGCATAATTCCCCACCATATTAAAAGAACAACATATAGATCAATGGAACAGAAAACCCAGAAATAGACCCATACATACACATGGTCATTGACTTTTAACCAAGGTGCCAAAGTAATCCACTGGTGCTGAAAAACTTAATATCCATATGAGAAAATAAATGAACCTTGATCCCTACCTCACACCATATACAAAAATTAAATGGAGATGGATTAAAGACCTAATCATAAAAGTTAAATTATAAACCTTCTAGAAAAATGGTCATAGGAGAATATCTTCACAACCTGGGGTTAGCCAAAATTTTCCTAGGACTCAGAAAGCAAAAATCATAAAAGAAAACATTGGTAAAACTTCATTAAAAGTTAAAATTAACTTCATTAAAATTAAAAACTTCTGCTCATCAAAAGACGCCAATATGACAATGAAGAGGCAAGCCCTACACTTGGAGAAAATAGTCTTAAAACCTGTATATGACAAGTGACCAGTATCTAGAATACAGAAAGAACTTAGACAGTTCAGAAATAAAAAGACAAAAAAAAAAAATTTTTTTTTAATGGGAAAAAAACGCCCCAAAGGGAATTAGCCAATAAGCACTAGAAAAGATACTCAACGTCATTAGACATCAGGAAAATGCAAATTAAAACCACAATGCTATACCACCACACACCCACTGGAATGGTTTAAAGCAAAAACAAAGGGCTGTGAATGAAGGGACCAGATGGTTGAGTAGGGTTCAAATCCCAGCTCTAGCACTTACTTGCTGTGTGGCCTGGAACAAGCAGCTTCACTGCCTTGAGCCTCAGTTTCTTCATCTGTAAAATGGAGGCGCCATGAAGATTCCAAGGAGCCCTGGTAGCGCAGTGGTTAAGTGCTCGGCTGAAAGGTTGTCAGTTTGAACCCACCAGCTGCTCCACGGGAGAAAGATGTGGCAGTCTGCTTCTGTAAAGATTACAGCCTTGGAAACCCTATGGGGCAGGTCTCCTCTGTCCTGTAGCATCACTCGCTGTGAGTCGGAATCAACTCGCCGACAGCGAGTTTGATTTCGGTTTGGTGAGGGTTCCATTCCCTGATGTCATAATGACATCCTAAGAGCTGCCATTCTCATAACGAGCATTTTGTTGTTTTTGTCATTGTTCAATTGTTGAGGGAGGGAAGTTGACACCAAGGATGCAAGCTCAGAACTTAGCTGTATGATTCGCCTACCCACTTCCAGGCCATTCTCACCTTACCATGTGTGTGCGTGTGTGTGTGTATACGCACGTGCTCACACACATACACACACATGCCTTTTCTTTTCCCAGGGGCCTCTGTGTTGGCATTTACGCCACCAACTCTCCCGAGGCCTGTCAATATGTTATCGATCACGCCAAGGTGAACGTCTTACTGGTTGAAAATGACCAACAGTTACAGAAAATCCTTTCGGTAAACCCCTACCCAGTGCTGCCCGCCACAGTCACCCAGGGGAACGTCAGGGTTCTGGTCAGGTGTCTGATTGCGCCCAGGTAGATGCCAAGGTGATGTGGGCTGGTGGGATTTGCCCCAGGCGTGGGTTCAGTAAAAGTCCTCTGTGATCACACTGGTAAAACCAGCAAAGCTGCTTTCAGGGGGAGTAGACTGGGGTGGAGGAGTTTAATTTCCAACTTACATTAACTTCATGTCCTATTCAGCCTCCATTAAAAATGCATTTTTTATTATTATTTTATATACACCCCCCGTTTAGTATTTTTCTTTTAAACGCTTAATTATTTCTTGCCTTGCGCTCCTGGTAATTTTCTTCATTATTGGTAACTGTCATTTCTGAAATGGTTTTGTCTTTTTATTCTCTTTCTTTCCTAAGCTCTACCACTTTGTGTTTCACTTCTTTCTGATGCCCGGCTCTCTCCTCCCTGAGTGCTTGTATGTTTACTTTGTGCTCTTCCTTCCTAGCTGCGTTTGCTTCATTTTGTTTTTAATTGTATGTTGCAACATTGAGTGACACTTTTCCTTTGCTTTGTAGTGACATTTCTGAAGAGAGCTTTCTTCATGTATGGTGAAATTTTGCCTTACAGTACTTTTTTTTTTTTCTCCTTTGTGGTATCTTTGTATGGGTGTTACAGACACTTTCTGGGCTTCTACACTTCATTTTTAGGCAGATGGTTCCAGCCATTTTTACAGCCACTTTTATGGAGGATTTTTGTTGCCTGACTCCATCCAACTTGAGAAGTCCCTGGATAGTGCAAACAGTTAATGTGTTCAACTACTAACCAAAAGGTTGGATGTTCAAGTCCACCCAGAGGCACCTCGGAAGACAGGCCTGGTGATCTGATTCTGAAAAATCAGCCACTGAAAACCCTACAGAGCACAGTTGTACTCTGACACACACAGAGTCACCAGGAGTCAGAGTCAACTTGCTGGCAAATGGTTGGTTTTGTTACTAGACTCCAAGTAGGTTACGTGAATCCTACCTCTAGAAGGTCACTGGGTAGACTGTTCCAGAGACAGCTAGCACTTCCTTCATGATTGTGTAGCATAATTCCACCTGAGACATGTTTTCCTTGTAAATACCCCCTGCTGGGGAAGCTGCTGTCTTCGTCTGCCATTCACTAGTGAAGGCTACTGATACCCACCACAAAGAACTCAGTGGTGGAGAACAGTCAGGTCATTTTAGGGCAGCTCGGGACAAAGAGCAACGTTTCACAGTGTGGGCAGGAAAAAGAGATTGAAGATACTGGTAGGACAGAGGACATCACAGGAGCTTCGGATTCATACCCAGCTTCAGTCCTTCCCAGGGTTGGGTCGCCATGGGGCCCACACACACTTTCTTTCAGATTCCACGGACCAAGTTGGAGAGCTTAAAAGCGATCATCCAGTACAAGCAGCCAATGAAGGAAACAGGCGACAACCTGTACTTCGTAAGTGGGTGAGGTGGGCGGCCAACAAAAGGGGCAGCCAGCCTTGCAGGAGAAGTGGGTGTGGCCTTTCAAAGGAAGTGGGGGTGAGCAAAGGAAGTGGGTGTGGCCTTTCAAAGGAAGTGGGTGAAGTGCAGAGGAAGTGGGCGTAGCCTTCCAAAGGGAGTGTGTAGGGCATTGCCAGGGGAAATGGGTGGGATTTTCCAAGTGTCTGTAACCTTTAGAAGGGAGTGGATGATGCCTTGAAAGAGGGTGGGCAGGGCCTTGCCAAAAGAAGTCAGTCTTGAGCATTGCAAGTGGATGGGGCCTTCGAACCCTTTATTCTGGCATGAAGATTGGAGTCCACCCAGAGATGCCTTGAAAGAAAGGCCTGATGAACACTTCCGAAAGATCACAGCCATTGAAAACCCTATGGAGCACAGTTCTACTGTGACACACGTGGGGTCGCTGTGAGTCGGAGTCCACTCAGTGGCAACTAGTAAAGTAGTAAGTTTTGGACCTGTGATAAGTGCCTCACTCTCCTCACCCTAGTCCAGGCCCTGCAGCTGGGGCTCCTCCAGTATCGTTCTCTGTCTCTGCGTGGTCTCTCCAAGTGATTTTCCAGCACAGCAACTCCAGGACAGCTGGGCTTCTTCTATGGTGGCTCAGCTCTCCAAAAGGTCTTGAGAGGGAGAGCAAGCCAGATAGAAGCTGCCTTGCCTTTTCTGACCTAGCCCGGGAAGTGACATAACATTAATTCTCTGCCCATCAAGGCAGTCACAAAGCCCTGCTGGGACCAAGGGGAGGGGGCATAGACTCCATCTCTTTTTTTTCTTCTTCTTTTATTGTTAAAAGTATACTCAGCAGAACATACACCAATTCAACGGTTTCTGCATGTACCGCTCGCTGACATTGAGTACATTCTTCAAGTTGTGCAATGATTCTCACCCTCCTTTTCCGGATTGTTCCCCCTACATTAACAGGAACTCACTTCCTAAGTTCCGTATCTGCCATTTCCACATGCATTTGTCCATTTGAACCATATAGATAATACTTCAAAACAGCATGATGTTCAAGGCAGTCTTAACTAAATAAGCTTACCTACTTTTTGGTTTAAAGAAGACTTCAGGGGATTTTATTATTTTTATTTTTGTTGCTGTTGTAATTAAATGAAGTTTACATTTCAAGTTAGTCTCCCATACAGAATTTCTTTTTTTTTTTTTACATATGTTGTTATGAGACCCCAACTTCTCACCCCATTCAGCGATAGCACACTCACAGGGGATATTTTTTGATTTAAGATTTAAAGGCAACAGTTTTGAGGGTTCTTCCAGCCACCAACCAGAAAGTCTGGATTCCATTAGAATTTGGAGCTGTGTTCCACATCCTCCCTCCCTTTTGATCAGGATTCTTCTATAGAATCTTTGATCAAAACGTTCAGTAATGGTAGCTGGGCACCATCCAGTTCTTCTGGTCTCATGGCAAAGGAGGCATTTGTTCATGAAGGCAGTTGGGCACACATTTCATTTCCTCTTCCTATTCCAGACTCTCCTTTTCCCTCTGCTGCTCCAGGCAAATAGAGGCCAATTGTTGTACCTTGGATTAGACTCCACCTCATAATGGAGGGCGGACAAGGTTCTGGAAGAGAGTGTGACTGTTGTCACAGTCATTTCTGGAAAAATGCATTCTGCCAAGGGACTTTTAGAGTCAGGAAATGTTTGATTGCAAGCAACAGAGACCCACTTAAGCCAAGGAAAGGTCGGGTTTTGTTTTTTGTTTTTGGAAAGATACGTGGGTAATCTCAACAGAAGCCAGGACAGAAAGCTTGTGAGGGGCCAGGACAAGCTCCTGTTAATTTCCCAAGATTAAACACTCAACCCCAGTGTTCAAATCAGAAGGCCTAAAAAGCCACAAAGTTTCTTTTTACCTCCATGCAAATGGGAGAGAAGGAAAGTGGCAATGACTCTTTCTAGCCCTCCAATATATTCACCACCTTTTGACACCTTTCAGAAAACAGAAGTGCCAATTTAAATAATATCCCCTGAAGTCTTAAAACCAAACAATGGTTTAGCTGAACTAGTAAAGATGTCTGCCTTGAGCATTGTGCTCTTTTAAGAACTATCTATATGGGATCAAAATTGACAACGGGAACTCGAAAGGTTAGATAGGAACCTTAGGGGACAGTGAGTTTGTGTTAATGGGGGAAGAACAACTCAGAAAAGGTAGGTGAGAATGGTTGCACAACTTAATGTAATCAATGTCATTGAATTGTACATGTAGAATTTAGATTGTACATGTAGATTTAGGGTTTAAAGGCAACAGTTTTGGGGTTTCTTCCAGCCACCATCCAAAAAGTCTGGATTCCATTAGAATTTGGAGCTGTGTACCACATACCCCCTGCCCCCTTTGATGAGGATTCTTCTATAGAATCTTTGATCAAAACGTTCAGTAATGGTAGCCGGGCACCATCCAGTTCTTGTTGAATTGGTGTATGTTCTGCTGTGTGTAGTCACGACAACGACAAAATAAAACAAATAATGAGGAGCCTTGGTGATGTAATGGTTAAGCACTCGGTTGTTAACCAAAAGGTCGGTGGTTCAAACTCACCAGCTGCTCTGCAGGAAAATGATGTGAGTCTGCTTCCATAAAGATTGCAGCCTCGGAAACCCTATGGGGCAGTTCTGCTCTGTCCTATAGGGTCACTATGAGTTGGAATCAACTCGACCGCAATGGGTTTGGTCTGCTTTTATTTAAAAAAATATTAATCCCAGGATAACGACCAACTAATTAAGACTTTTCAGAGGTTAAAGGTGACCACCATAGGACATAGCACCAACCTCTAGGGTCTGGATGACTTCTAAGATTCCTTTGTTAGAAGTGGCATTTACAGCAAGGTTTCTCAGCCTTGGTGCTGTTGACATTTGAGGCTGGATAATTCTTGGTTGTGGAGGGCCATCCTGTGCACTGTAGGATGTTGAGCAGCATGCCGTATCTCCACCCACTCGATGCCAGTAGGCCAGACTGGACCCATGGCCATCGAGTCGATTCTGACTCATAGTGACCCCATGCTGAGAATTGTGCGTTAGGAAAAGCCGATGGGGCAAGCGCAGATTAACCAAAAAATCAAACACACTGCCATCAAGTCGACCGTGACTCATGGCGACCCCATGTGTGTCAGAGTAGAACTGCTCCATAGGGTTTTCAATGGCTGATGTTTTCAGAAGTAGATCACCAGGCCTGTCTTTCGAGGCACCTCTGACTGGGTTCGAACCACCAACCTTTCATTTAGTAGCCAAGCCCATTAACCATTTGCACCACCCAGGGACTCCTTGTTGGACCCTAAAGAAACAAAAAAAGTGATGCCAACAAGTTGATTCCAACCCATAGCGACCCCGTGTGTTACCGAGTAGAACTGCTCTATCTTCACAGAAGCAGATCTCTAGGCCTTTCTTCCATGGTGCCACTGGGTGGGTTCGAACTGCCAACCTTTAGGTTAACAGACGAATGTAAATCACTTGTACCACCAAGGGATCTTCCCATTGAGGAAGGGGAATTCCAGCGCCCCCTGGCTCCCCATCCTCAGCGTGTCCTTTCTTTCCGCAGTGGAATGATTTCATGGAACTTGGCAACAGCATCCCTGATGCCCAGCTGGACCAGATCATCAAAAGCCAGAAGGCCAATCAGTGCGCTGTGGTTATCTACACTTCGGGGACCACAGGCAACCCCAAGGGCGTGATGCTGAGCCACGACAATGTAAGTGGTCACTCTACCCAACTATGATGGTGAACTTGGTAGCGTCCAGAGTCCCTTCTCTCTGGACTGGTGGCCTTTAGGCTTTTTTGTTCTTGACCCACAGGGGCAGGGCAGTGTTTTCGGGTCTAGCACATAGTTCTAGGGTCTAGTACATAGAATTCAGTCAGACGTTCTGAATCTAGGATCTGTTGTTGGACTCTAAAAACCAAACCCAATCAGTTGCTGTCGATTCCAACTCGTGGTGACCTCATGTGTGTCAGAGTAGAAAGATGCTCCATAGCGTTTTCAGTGGCTGATTTTTTGGAAGTAGATCGCCAGGTCTTTCTTCCAAGGTGCCGCTGAGTGGATTCAAGCTGCCAATTTTTTGGTTAGTAGCCAAGTGCTTGGAGCCTTGGCAGCGCAGTGGTTAAGAGCTATGGCTGCTAACCAAAAGGTTGGCAGTTCGAATCCACCAGCTGCTCCTTGGCAACCCTATGGGGCAGTTCTACTCTGTCCTATAGGGTCACTATGAGTCAGAATCGACTCGACAGCAACCAGTTTGGTTTGGGTTTAGCCAGTTTGGTTTAGCCAAGTGCTTAACTGTCTGTACCACCCAGGGACTCCTTGTTGGACCCTAAAGCAAAAGCCAAACCAGTTGCTGTGGAGTTGACTCTGAATCATGG